TGAAAAAAAAAACCCAGACCATAGGTGGTTGGCAGACACTTTGGTAGTTTGTTCTTTATTTTGTATCAATTTTCTGTGGTTCACATCTCTCTTCCTTCTTTTCTTTGTATGTTACTCTCTAGACATTTGTCTTCTACACTTGTATTTATGACCTTTTGGGTTGCAAGTGAGATAATTAAACTCATCATGAAAGCAAGACATCAAATCAAGGCTGAGGCTCAGTGTGTTAGTAAACAGACTGGCCACTGCCTGTGCTCAGAAATCTTTATAGATATAGAAAATTAGTATGGTACACGATGAGTTACATGGCACAAAGATTCACTGCTTTCATAATTCATAACAAACTGTAATAAACACCATCATTGATTGCTGCAGTGCAAACATCTTGTTATGAGCAATGACAAACAAAAGCTCTTGATAAGCACGCCCTTGTGGTCACCCATTGAAAAGCTCACTGATATTTTACTTTGCTGATGAGCCTGGGTTCTTTTACTTACTCACTCATCCTTTGAGACAGTCAGAGACTTATTATCTGGTGTGTGTATTTTGAACTACGGTACCAAGGTTTTATAGCATTTTACCTGACAAAATGCGCTTAGGCTTTACTTGAACCTGAGCTGAAATGTCTTTTGTAATCATATTTAAATACTTATTGAACAAACTGCTTACTTATAAAAATTTTCATACAGTTCTGGATACATATATCTTTGCTTATTTTTTTTTTAAACACCTCTTATTATATCTATCATGCAGATCACAAGAAATGGTATCTTTAGTTAGTGTAAGGGTGAGGCTCTTCCCCTTTCATGCTTGTGATGTGAGTCCAATTCTGTGGTGAACAAGATCTTTATCAAGCATCTGTCTTCACACTAGTAGTAGTAGTAGATCTATCCCATTCAGCCTGTTACAGCCTTGATAGGTAAGATCTAAACAGCTCATATTCTAAATTATCTAGACCTAGAGGACTTTTCAACATTTAATTTACAGTCATGAGATCACAATGATTAACATCAGCATATTAGAGTACTTTTGCCCCTTACTTAAAAAAATAAAAACCACAGGAAAATTATCATCTGTCAAGATGTTAATTCTGAGGTGTTTTACATGCTTGCGTTGTCTGTGTACATCACCAACCCTACCTATACTAAAACTATTGCGATAGCTTTGATCTCATATCTCGTATGAGATGTCTACCTATCAACTTTTCTTTCAGTTTCACATACTGGCTAATTACCTTTTTAAGTGCATAATAATATCACTTCTGGGGTGTGTCTATTTTTGGCTTGTGTAAATTATTAAATATTTGAAAATTAAAACTTCACTACTCGATGTTCCTGAACTTTTCAGACATAATCTTACTCAATTTGTTGCTACATTAGGACTTGGTAACAGAACAAGTCCTAGCAACAAAAATAAAGTTCTGTTTGGTATATGTTCATGTATCTATATTAAAGGCTGTATGGTAGAAACATTCAAGAGTGAGTGGTTTGATTGTACGACTGGGAGTACAGGAAGGAAAAGTAAAGTAGGCTACATGTTTGTGATGAGTGCAAAGATGTATGTACAAAGAGGAAATGAATAACTTTCACATTAATCACTGATTGCACAAAGTTGAAAGCTCTTCGTCCTCTGTAATTATGATGCTAAGAGGTGTTTTCATAATGATTGTTTGTTATAAGAAGAGCGTGTTCTTGTTTGACCCGCTTAATGTATATAAGAAATCTCTCTTTCATGAGAGATGAATGAAAAGATTTCATTTTCATGGAGAGATCTGGATGTTTTTGTTTGTCTGGCAAAATATTGTATGATCTCTAAATATGTTAATAATGTTTTATAAATGCACACCTGTTACTTCTCTGATAATCATGTGATAATGGATATGTCTTATATATGTGTGTATCATAATCAACGGACATCAGCATTCTCTCAATAATTTATGTTCACTGGCATCCCTCATGAACCATTGGTTTAAAAAGGAACAATATCGAACATTAGTAATATGCAACTGCTCTTCACATACATGTGCATTAGTAGGCAGGGTAGTATTGTCACTATATTCATTGTCTTATCACATCTCTCGTGGATTTTCTCAAAAACAGATGCGCTTATCATGTAGCTTAGATATGTGACAATAAAACATCATTTTATCATTTTACTCAGGAAGTACAAAAGGGCCTCTAATTTCTGTTAAGGAAAGCAGCCTACAGGTATTTATACAGTTGAGTAGACATTGCTTGTTTTGTGTTATGTAACTAAAGATAAAATTCATTTTGTAAAAATACTGCTGATTAGGAAATCACTAGCCCTGGCTTTAGAGGTAAGACTTAAGACTGCTGTGTTTAAGTAAAGTTTTTAAAGTGAGAACTCTGACAGATCAAGCTTTAAAAACCTCTCAATAAATAAATGGAACAAAATTCAAACAATTCTTTACCAGTATGAGTAACAATATGTGTGAAATTACATTTCTCCGTTATTCACCTTATTGGTTTGGTATCAACAAGCAGCGAAATCTGACATGAAGAAGCTGCTGGTAGGTTTACACTTTCACCCATTCAAGCATCAGTCATCAAAGAAAAATATGCAAATTAAGTAAAGATGAGTTGAGAAACACAGCGATGCCATCCATCATTATGAGATGCATTTTTTACATTTGTTATCGTCCACTTAGAAAACAGTTTTTCTTTCCTGTTTACTCTTTGACTTAAAAATAAGAGATCTGAGTAAGATCAATAATTTTACGACAGCACAAGTATCAGATTTATTATAGGGTCAGTTTACTCCCAGAGTCTGAGATATTGCTAGCATGCAAAGTGTAATTACATGTCTTTGAATATATTTGTGTGTATTTTCTCATGATCACAGAGGGAGGGGGAGGGGACTTATGAGTATTAACATAAAGGAGAGAATGACAGTAATTCAGTTGTAGATTATGGCGTACCAACTCAATAATGGTCACATTTTAGTTTTTTACCTGGAATACTTTTCGAAAGCTAGTCATAACAGAAATAGGAGAGGATCATAGCAGACTACACACCTACCAACTTCCTTCATGAAAGAGAAGGAAAAACAGGCAGAAATTTGTACCGTAAAGCTTGCTTCTAAACAAAAAACCAATGGTTGCCTAGAGGTGCTCTTAGACTTAGACTGCAGTCCTGACACAAGAATGGCATACTTTTAAACAAAAGTGATAACATAATGTGCTGATGTAGGCTGTGCACTCTGTTTAACCTTTACAGTGCAGCCTCTCTATAATGACATCGTCGAGACTAGAAAAAAATGTCGTTATGGAGAGTTGTCATTATAGTGAGGCAACCAAAAACATTACTAATTAATACTAATGATATATAAGGGAAAAATCGAGACCTGGGCACCTTGTCGCTATATAGAGGATGTCGTTATATCGAAGGTTGTTATAGAGAGGCTGCACTGTACATGTATTTAAATGGTGCAGTACATGAGTTATTGGCTTAAGATTACATTTAAGGTCACCTCAACCTTTCGATTTGATCCTGACATTTCCAATTTCCAGCACATCTGGTCATTTGTTCATATTTTACATACTTATGTGACAATGATAGAAATAATACTAATAATAGTTTTACTTGTCATACTCTCTTCAGCAATGTAAGAGAGAACAATCTTTACTCCTGCTGCTCGTGAGTTTGAATGTTGCCAAATGTTCATATTCACATAATTCAGTTGCTCATTTTCCTGTGTCCTGGGCTAGATACCCTTGAACTGAACTGAAGGGAACTGTAAGCCAGGGTTAATATTTCATTCAGTAACATTTTGTTGCCCATAATGCATATTTGTGTATGAATCCAATGTGAACCCACAATGATTTATTTGGGATACAAAGGTATATAGGTACCCCTGAAGGAGGAGAAAGGCGTGTTCAGAATAATAATAACAATAGTTCGTCCCTCAATGTCTGATGATGACCACACAAAGGAGAATATTTCTCAAGGGAAATAGAGAATTTACCCTGGTACAGGACTTCATTTAGAATCATCAAGTCCTTTAGAACTGAAACTATGGGTTTATTGTTTGTGAAAACCCATTGGCTGCAACAGTGAATAGAGCTTTAGAACGAGAAGAGTAGAGGGAAGAGGGGGGGAAATAAAAGAGGTGCAAGGGACTACTGTAGGTTTGAGATAGCCATTCAGTGCTTGAGCAGTGTAGATAACACTCTACAAAAGCACAGGGTCTTTATGTTATTATATGATCAGTAGTAGGAAAATAAACACTGTTGTCAGCTGTATGAGAAATAAGATTTCAGAGGAAAAGTTTGTTGGTACCGGGTATAGCTTCATGTTATCATGATGTGGCTTGAGAAATCTCGGCCAGCATTAGCAGTTTCTGTCGCTAACGCCTATGAACTATTCTATATTCTTGGTTAACCTTGTGCTGCAAAATGTATATGTACATTAAAAACTGGGTAATGACTTTCCTTTCTACTGGCGCTCTTTGAGCAGCTTGTACTTCCAAGTTTGTTGCTTCAGCTTTATCTATTTCCTGTAAGTGCACTCGTACTGATAGAGGTAATGGAAGGGATGGAGTAACTGAGTCTTGTTTATCAGCCGTACATTTCTTTCATTTTGATGAATCGAAAAACATGATACACTATGTACCACTATATTTCCAAGTATCATTGAATTAAAAAGTGCAAATGTAATAACATTTTGTTTAGTGTGTGAATCAATGCCTTGAATTTAAGTTACTGTTGTGCTGTTTTAGGATACTTTTGGACAGCACACTGCAGACATTTTGTGGGCAAGTGGGCTGCTACAGAGTCGATCTGATCATCCACTCTGATGCAATTAATCATCTGTACACGATTTTACCTCTACTAAAACTGGGAGCTCTCATGGCTCATGGTCTAGAGGTTATGGTGTTTGCCCCTCATATCCTTTCATCTCCTTTCCTGCTCTTTAAGGGGATCCACTGGTCAGATCAGTAAAAATTTTGAAAAAATATCAGTTTTCGGATT